CTACTATACATTACACACTGTAGTCATTTAAATAACTGCAGAATTTCAATATTAAACATTACAGGGTAAAGATATTAATTATCAAAAGTCGCCAAGCCACAAAACTATTACAGGGTAAAATAAACACTTCTGATCAGGGGGGAAAAAGACACCAACAGTATGGGGACTTATTTATTACGTAGAAGTACAAGTAAAATTTCTGCAAAACATGTAAATGACTGCTATAAGTAAGAAATGTATAACATAGCCGTGGCTAACTAAGTACACCAAATCAACTCAAAATGTACACCCGTAGTAAAATAAAAGTATGCTTATAGCCTAGTAACAAAGTTTTCTGTCCAGGGGGAGAAAGATACTGGCAGTATGGGGCGTTAAAGTTTATTGAAGATTAAATTCTGCAGAACATGTAAATATATAAAGTTCACATAAAGTAAGTAATTATATAAAGTTTATATTAAACACGGTTTATATTATAGACTTAACAAAGTTGATATTATATAAAACTTAATATTGAACATGTAAATATACAAAGTTTCAAATATAATTTAAGGAATATATAACGTTTATATTAAAATATATAAAGTAAATATATAAAGTAAATATATAAAGTAAGAATTAACAGTAACAATTCCAAGGACTAGATTTAACTTAAAAGGTACACCCGTAGTAAGTATGAGACCTTAGCCTATAGTGACATGGAAACTAATTCTGCGGAAACCTAAAGGTTAACTGGTACTAGAATTAAGGCCGAGTGCAAATGTGTAGTAATTATATAACACTAGGATATAACAGGCAGGACACAAAGAATAACTAATAAGTGAGAGACCACATAACACGTAATGTACCCGGCCAAGAGGCCGTAAAAGACCTAATGGATAAGGAGAAGGGGGTGTGACTACAAGTAGGGCTTACTAGCACCTAGACTGGGCAAAGTATTAGCTGCGGACAGCGGGACACTTGGGGACCGGCGCTGCACCCCCCTTCCCACATGCAGTGGGGAGACAATCGGGACATCTGTGCAAAGCATGACGGGGGTACAAAAGCAGCCGCTTGCAAAGGGGGGGAGGGTGGGGTTTTGCGAAGGCAGCGGCGAGGGCAGGCGGAGTGAGGCGGAGCCCCGTTGTGCGCCCGTATTTATACGGCCCCAAACTGCCCGCGCAACGCGCTGCACAATTGTTTCTTTCTCCCCCGCCAGAAACATCCCCGCTTGTGATGCAAGCAGTGACCATAAATCAAAAGCTGCAGAAACCTAATAGCTTATTGTCTAGAACTAGAAGTAAGGCAAATGATAATTTATAACTACATATTTACTGCATCCTGACTGTTATACAAAGTGATTAAACATAACATTTAATAAGCCCGGCCAAGAGGCCCGAAAGAATGGTAAACAATAGCCGAATTAATACGGAAATTAATCAGGCGTGCAGAAATTTACAGACTGGGAAAAGCCCGATATGAAAATGGAGGAGAAAATTAACCCCAGGCCGTGAGGCCGTGCCGCCAAGGAATAAGGAGATAAGCAAGTAATTATCAAAAGGAAGGCACCAAACCGGGAAGGCTATGTAGCACCATCAAATGTGCGGGATAATCAGAGGGCGCTAAATATCACCAAGAATGCCAATATGAGAACAGAAACGCATAAGGTGAATGATATCAAAAGTAGCCGAGTCACCAAGAATACTATCGTGAGACCAGCAACCGCGGGGGATGGTCGGAAAACAAGACACGCTCGTCCCGGAAGTCAGGACATTCAACAAGGATATGCACGACCGTAAGAGGGACAACGCAATTATTAGGACAATAAGGAGCAGGGCGGCGCTCCATCAAGTGACCGAGTTAAGCGAGCATGGCCAACACACAACCTCACCAGGGCCGTTTCCCATTGCCAGTTACGGTGGTAGGAGGACGGCCACGAGGACAACTTAAGAGAACGTAGTTTGTTACCAGTAACAGACGAACAACAAGCCTGCCAATGAGTAAGCCTTTTCCAGGTAAAAAGACTGCAACAACGGAGGTCTTCGCAGCAAAAGCAGTACGAATATAGACCAAGTTCACCAGGACATCTGTTGTGCTGCGGCACTTTTGGAAACCAAATTGAGACGGAGAGGTGATGGTGTTCCAGGAACCACATCAGATAAACGTTAACCATACGTTCAAAGAGTTTGCAGACAATTTGTGAGGGCAATAGGGCGAAAGTCCTTAGAGGATGTTCCCAGAGACCCCGGTTTGCAAACAGGGAGGACAACGGGATCGAGCCAGTCCTCAGGGACTAACGACGACTCCCAGATCGGAGTCTGATACAGACTCGGTAAATACCGAGACGTGCACGGAGGGAGATGGCAAAGCATCTCAATGAATGCCATCGGAGCCCGCCGCCGTAGAACCGCAAAGGGCCAGGGCAGAACAAAGTTCAGAGAGAAGGGATCGTTATAAGGAAGGCGAAGACGAGTACAGAAATCTAAAGGACGAGATTCAAGGACAGGTTTACAAAGAAGGAAAGATTGGGGAAGATGAAGACCAGAGCTAACAGAAGAAAAGTGGGAACCCAGTTCGGTAGTGACCTGCAACGGGTCCGCCACAGGAGTACCACGGATGTGAAGGACCGGTGAAACATCAGGAACGAACTTGCCCGCTATCTTGTGGATACGCTTCCAGATATGTGGCAGAGGAGTTTCGGACGTAATGGAGGGAGACATAAGATGCCCAACATTCACGTTTAGCCGTACGGATGGCCCTACGGGCCACCGCACTTGCCTTCCGAAAGAAAAGAATCGGCCGTCTGGCGACGGCGGTGTGTCTTCCAGGCTGCACGTTTACAGCGGACAGCCCGAGCACAGTCTGCATTCCAAACCAGGAATGCAATTCCGTGGACCCCAAGAGGAAGAGCGAGGACTAGAGCGGAGGGCAGCTTCAAAGACTCGTGAAAAAGGAAGAGCGAGGGAGAGGCAGAAGGGAGAGGTCAGAGAGAGCAGCACTGAGGGTAAATATGTTCGTCCGCTTTAGCAAACTGCCACCTAAGGAAGGAGAGGGTTAAAAGAGAAGGTAACAAGGATGGGAAAATGGTCACTACCATGGAGGTCATCAAGGACCTACCACGTGAAATCCAAGTAAAGAGAAGACAAGCAAAGAGAAAGATCAAGACAGAAAGGGTACAAGTCCGAGAGTCCAAATGCGTGGGCTCACCAGAATTTGGAAGAGACAAGGGAAGAAGAGGATAAATGGCTCAAGAAGGCGACCCCGGGTGTTCGTCAGAACATCACCCCAAAAGGAATGACGACAATTGAAATCACCCAGCAGGAGCACAGGCTCCGGCAAGGAGTCCAGTAGGCGTTTCAGATCGGGAAGAGAAAGCGGGACACTCGGGGGAGATAAATGGAACAAATGGTGTACCATTTCCCCACAAAGACACGAGCGGCAGAACAATGGAGAGGCGAAGGAAAAAGTAAGGGGACAAAGGGAACAGAGCGAATCAAGAGAGCAGAAGAGTTAAGAGCCCCAGCAACAGCTAGGGAGGGGGGGGGGGGGGGGGAAGAAAGGAATAGCCCTGAAAATGACCAGGACGAGCACCAAGCATTGGCTCCTGGAGATAGACACAAAGGGGCGAAAACCGCGAAATCAGAAGTTGCAGTTCAAGGAAATTGGCGTAATAACCTCGAACGTTCCATTGAAGAATAGACCGATGAGAAGAGAAAAGACAACAAGAGAGAACAAGGAAGAAACAAAGGCGAAAGAGCAACATAGCACGTTAAAGAAGATCAGGGTCAGCAAAGTCAGGGTTAGGGGGCATGGGTAAACTGAGCAAAGACGGAGGGAAGAAAACGGGAGAACAGACCAGAGGCGGACGGGCGGGGTCAGGAGGAGGAGGAGACAACCGAGAGGAGCAGTCAAGGACAGCAGCAGGAAGAGGGGGGGGGGGGGAGGAGAAAGAGGGGAGCGCACCTCAGCAAGGGCAGCAACCGAGAGGGAAGCGGGGGTCCAAAGAAACCTCTATAGCAGGAACAGGGGGAACAACCACCGAAATGGGAGGGGAAGGCGTTAAAGTCAGAAGCAGGGGCCGAGGAAGAAAGCGAAGCCTTCTTACCCGCCGGGGAGGAGGAAGGAGAGGAGTCAGGCTTACGCTTCTGACTTTAAGAGACAGGTGTCCCAGCAACTACGTACTGGGCAACGGATTCCAGCGTCTCAACAGGAGAAGCTGAACGAGAGCACACACGGCCATTAGGAGAGCGATGGACAGCCCGCACTGACAGGCAGCGGGGAGAGCCAATAGACAGAGGAGAAGGATGGGAAGGAGGATCGGAGGGAGACAAGGAAGAAGACACAGGAGACATGACAGACCAGGTAGAAAGAAGGGGCACCCCAGACAGAGGACCAGGAGGGGGACCCTTCGGGACAGAAAAAGGAACAGAGGGCCTATCTGGGTCCAAGGCCCGGAAACTGTTATGAGTGAGGAAGGTGGGAAGGACGAGGAGAGGAAGAGCGCAACACGCGAGCATAAGAGACGTTAGCATAAGGCGGGAGCCGGCGAACCTGGCGTCTCGCCTCAGGAAAATATAAATGCTCCCAGTGCTTCAAGTCGAGGACGGCTGCCTCAAGCTTGTAATGGATACACGCATGGGAGAAGGTAGGATGGGCCTCACCACAGTCGAGGCAGTGAACCTGGGAAGAAGTGCACTCCGACTTAGAGTGACCTTCGCCCCCACACAAAGGAGACAGTCCCAGAGCAGCGGAGGGCAACATGGCCAAACCTCCAGCACTTGTTACAGAGCCAAGAAGGAATGTACTCCTGGACATAGCACCTGGCACCAGCAAGAATGACAGAATGGAAGGGTCCTACCATCAAAGGTCATCTTCACAACCCGGAGGAGATGACGGTGATGACCACGAGGGGGACGAGTAAACGAGTCTACCTGGAGGACAAAACGAATTTTGGCATCAAGGATATGCCAAATATCGTGGCAGTCCTGCAGATTCCGAACACCGGTCGCAACATGGGGCGGGAGGAGAATAGTGCCAACACTGGCATTCAACCGAGCGTTTTTTGAGACCTGAACAGGGATCTTGCCAAGGCAGGATAAGGCAGCCAAGCGGGAAGCTGCATCCTGAGAAAGAGCAGCAACGACACTTGTACCGAGACGAATGGAGAGGCAACCGAGTGGCCCTGCCAATTCTAGAGGGGCGTAATCAGCTGGAGGCGAGCCTAGCACTGCGATGGCGGCGCGAAGCATCCTGGAGAAGTCTTGCCTGGTTACTGGGGCACGGGCCGGGCTTGGCCCCAGGCTAGGGTAGGCGTGCGTCCTGCGCTGTGCTTGTAGGATCCGAAGATAATGTCTATTCCTGACCATGTAAATGATACCTGATCCAGTCAAAGCGTGTGTCGACCTTTTGCCGAGTAGATCACCTTCCCCGGGCTGAAAGTAATAAGGCAGTAAGGGTGGGCAGAAGCGGGCATGCAGTTGTAACATGACAGGCAAGAACTCGGTTGAGAGGGGTAAACCCTAGCTGAACTAATATGGAGGAGACCTAGCTAATAAGGGTAGTGCAGGAGATAGGCATAAGAGGGAGGGAGGGGGGTGCCCTGATGCAGGTTTTAAAAAGATTCCTTAAACAATCCTGGATGAAACCCCAAATAGAAACATTGGCACAGAAAACACTGGGGGTTGAAGGAGAATAAGTTTGTATAATAACTATACTGTAGCAATGTAAGGTAGCTAACAATTCTAATGAAACTTTCAGCGAAAGGAAGGGAGCGAAATACCGTTGCTAGGAACAAAGGCAGGATAAGATATCCAGAAGTAAATCGGCAAGGGTGGCTCAAAAATACAATCGGTTATAATACAATACACAATCATAATATATATAATCAATACATATACCATAGAACGGATATATAATATCAAGTCAATATATAAACAATAAATGGAATATAAGAAAGCAATACGTTAAGGCATATCTGTAACATGCTCGTGTCCGAAGCACGACAAATACTGTACAACAAATTACTGTACTAAGTATGGGCGCGGGGAACATTACCCTTGGTCTCCATCTCGTGTTGGCCTCCAAATGGATGATAGAGCTGAAGAGAAGCCAAGGAATCTGCCTTAAGTAGCCATCGAGTGTAGCCTTTGATTGTTAATGAGCATCCGAGAGCAGCAGCTGTACACCGAGAACTTTGGCTACATCTTGTAGAACGGGTGCAAAGTTAAATCGACGCCAAGGAACTAGTGATCAGTAACTGTAATAAGAATATTAAGAATACAAATATCGTAAATAATATATGACGGCAAAGTGTCACAGGAGGAGATTAAATTAGGAAAGCGACGCCAATCCGTAATAATTTATGCTCATAAAATACTGAAATAACAGTAATGATACGGATTAACATTAATACTGTAATATAGCACAGTAAATAAGGGATATATATATAGTAATTAACGTAAGCCCTGCATGGGCGGCTGCATCCCGGCGCCACTGCATTGTCTAGTAACACTAGAGTACGGGTGAAATCTCACGATATTCCAAGTACTAGGAGCTGGGACTGAGAACCCATTGCAGGACGGGCACTCCAGAGACAGGTTCTGTGTAACTGTGATAAGAGGAATATCCGGCTGGCGTTCTCTTCCTCGCCGCAGCAGGGGGAGGGGGGGAGGGATCCGGCTTCTTGTGGCTGCGAAAAAAGGAAAGTAAGAAGCAGGCAGAGCACAAGGAGGAATATGCAGATGAAGGCAAGGACCCAAACAAAATGATAAATGAGCTTAAATTAAACAGAATAATAAACATCAATAGCAAATAAGAACATGAGTAAATTAGCCAAGAAGGCCAAGAGGATCTTGTAGATCCGAGACAGTGAAATTGACACCAGTAATTCCATCATCATACTATCATGCAAGAGGAGCCACACATCTATGGATCATCCAATAAAATCAGCATGTTACTACTGCTCGGCTTAGACTCTGTTACAAGTGTCTCTGGGAATTCTCATTACCTGCTGATGTAGACCTGACCAAATGTAAACTGTCAACAAAATTATTCGCACACCCTCCGTCACTATGTGATGGAGTGCGAAAAGATACGTGAATTTAGAGACAATTCTATAACCAATGTTCCAGCGATGTGTCAATATTTCATTCAAAATGATCTGCTACCAGAAATTTTAGCCAAATATCCCCAGTTTGCTAACTGTAGATAACAACTAAGTGATTGTAACCTATCCACCGCTGCCCACTGGATGGGGGCGGTGTGCAGGACAAACAAATTTTGACACTAGCTCTCCATATGTGTCAGTTGCTTAATTTAGAACCTGTACTTGAGGTCGATCTCTAACCCATTGTTGATGTGATGACATTGAATTTTGTAACTAGCTCATCAAGATTGTAACTTGCTTAGCTAAATGAATTGTGGGGTTCAGTCCCTGAGCCCATTATGTGCCTCTGTAACCCTTTCCACTACCGCCCACAAGATGGGTATGGGGTGCATAATAAATGAACTAAACTAAGGCCAAGAGGCCAAAGACCGTTATGCTAAATAAGCATAAACAACAACAGTAGCAGGAGACTCGTAGAAAACGATAATAACGAATAAAGCAGAGGGAGGGGAGAAGTAAGGCAACTAAAACCCAGACCGAATAATAAAACTTAAATTAGTAATAGCATGATACAATATTAACAACATTCATGGTGTTAGGCAAGGGCCAGAAGCCAAAAGGGAATTGATAAGAGATCAATAACACCAAGGAAAGTGACCAACATCAATAGCAAATAGTAACAAGTAGAGTGTAACTGCCAAATCCGCCAATGAAACCAAAGACCATAAGCAAAGTAGGCTTAAAACAATATAGTAGCAGAAAACCCAGAATAAACTATAATTACAAATAATAGCAGTGGGGGGGGGGGCCAAAGCGAGGCAACCGTAAACCCGAACTGAATAGAAAAGGACTTAAATATATAAATATGTAATAAATAATATATTGACACCAGTCAACATGAAAAGCAGCTAGCAGCCGTCTGGGATTCGTCGTGAAGTCGTCTCTGACGCCAACTGGAGATCTTTTAATCATCCTGGATCAGGAAGGCACCAAAGAGGCATCGTGCAGACATCCAGAAGTCGTCTTAGTCAACACTAAGTCACCTTACAGGCGATCGCAAACATTCGCTACTACAGGAAGACCTGGACAAACTGGAGGAAAGGTCTAGAAAAAGGCTGCTAAAGTTCAACTCGGGAAAGTGTAAGGTAAAGAAATTAGTCGAAGGGAGCAGGAAGCTGAACACAAGGTACCACCTGGGAGGAGAAATCCTGCAAGTCAAATTGAGAGAGACCTGGGGGTTGATATCACGCCTAATCTGTCCCCATAGGCCCACATCAAAAGAACCAACAGTGGCATATACTAGTCTGGCCAACATAAGCCAGCCAGCATAGCACTCGTTACCATAAAGAATGTAACGAGCAGAGTAATAACTTTGGTCTAACAACGTAACGTCAGTATTCCGAGTTTAGCGGCTGAAAGTACTACCCAAAGAGTACATAATATGTAAGCAGTAAACCAAGACAAGAATAAAAGGGGGGAAAACGGGTTACCTGGTTGATACCTGGTTGATGGGGTTCTGGGAGTTGTTCTACTCCCCAAGCCCGGCCCGAGGCCAGGCTTGACTTTTGAGAGTTTGGTCCAGCAGGCTGTTGCTTGGAGCGGCCCGCAGGCCCACATACCCACCACAGCCCGGTTGGTCCCGCACTCTGAGGAATAAATCTAGTTTCCTCTTGAAAATGTCCACGGTTGTTCCGGCAATATTTCTTATGCTCGCTGGAAGGACGTTGAACAACCGCGGACCTCTGATGTTTATACAGTGTTCTCTGATTGTGCCTATGGCACCTCTGCTCTTCACTGGTTCTATTCTACATTTTCTTCCATATCGTTCACTTCAGTACGTTATTTTACTGTGTAGATTTGGTACTTGGCCCTCCAGTATCTTCCAGGTGTATATTATTTGATATCTCTCTCGTCTTTCTAGTGAGTACATTCGGAGGGCTTTGAGACGGTCCCAATAATTTAGGTACTTTATTGCGTCTATGCGTGCCGTATATGTTCTCTGTATTCCCTCTACTTCAGCAATCTCTCCTGCTCTGAAGGGGGAAGTGAGTACTGAGCAGTACTCAAGACGGGACAAAAGTGACTAAGTACAACCATTGTGATGGGATCCCTGGATTTGAAAGTTCTCGTAATCCATCCTATCATTTTTCTGGCTGTCGCAATATTTGCTTGGTTATGCTCCTTAAACGTTAGGTCGTCAGACATTATTATTCCCAAATCCTTTACATGCTGTTTTCCTACTATGGGCACATTTGATTGTTTTGTACTCTGTATTATGTTTAAGGTCCTCATTTTTACCGTACCCGAGTACCCGGAATTTATCACTTAAACATGTTATTTTCTGATGCCCAGTCGAAAACTATTAATATCAGCTTGAAGCTTTTCAATGTCTTCAGCCGAGGTAATTTTCATACTGATTTTTGTGTCATCTGCAGGGTGAACAAAATTGCCACTGAAGTGCCAAAGCCGCAAAGGAGTTTGCACCCAATGGCGCAATGGAGCCGACCCGTAAAAGAATTAATACCGAACTGAAATACTAAAGGACAAAAGGCTCTCCGTCACACAGGACGGAGAGGAGAATGAGCTCAACCGCAAAGGCAGGAAGAGCCAGAGAAAAGTATCACCCGTTTTAAATAAACGGCACGTAAACCAAATCTGCCAAGAGCCTTAAACAAGCAATACCGTAAACAGTAAGGAGGGGAAACTGGAGAAAATGTTTTGAATACAACATATAACAAAGCCGCACCTGACGCGCTGTGCCACCGGATTGGCACCTGAATACCTGAAGAACCCAAGGTCAAAGCACCACCAAGGCAGGCTAAAGAGCCCTGAAACTATTAGAAAGAGCGAGACTTCCTCCAAGCAGGAGGGCTGGGACTGAAAAGCCAGAGACGGACGGGCCCCCCCAGGGGCAGGAACAAAGTGGCAGGGAGCAATACTGATCGAATCTAATACAATGTGCTAGAAGAGCAGTAACAAAACCAGCAGTGGGCCGCAGAAGCATATGAAGGTAGCCAAATAATACGTGAAGTGTGGAAAGCAGGCCTGCAGAATCACAAGGCAAGACAAGTACCGACTTGGTTGCTGGTAAGGCTACTGCCGAATTAAGACGTAGCACAAGAAATAACACTGCTCTGTACCCGTAAATATGAGTTAAGAGTTAAATATATGAATATGGTAAATCAACGTCGCACAGGGAGAACCGCAGCAGAAGTAGTATGCCCAACTGTGAGCAATTATGCTCTAAATAAGACTAATAAACTCAATTAAGAATAGCCGAAAGTAAACATAAGTGTAATAAACCAATACTACAAAAATTGCAAAGTTAATACAGCACAAAGCTTTGGCTGGGAAGGCCAATGCCGCATGATGATTGCGCTCATAATAAAAAGAAACGGCGTTAACCGTAATGATATGAGCAGTATTAATACCATATAAATTTTAGCATCACCGGGGACTCATTAAATGTTAAATCCAAGACGTAAAACAAATTTGTAAATAAATTTAAAACGCCACCGAACAAGTACAAACAGGAAATGACAAGAGTAAGGTCAAGCACAATATGGAAAACTATAAATAGCGAAATGAAAAACGTTCCACATTGGGAGGGGAAAGTAAGCAGGGAAGCCTTAACATTAAATCAACATTAATGTAGCATGTATAACAAACACCAATGGACAAAAAAAAATAAATAAAAAAACATTGCTAAATGTAAACTAAAATCCTGCCCCGGAACACCAGCAGCTGGAACATCTGCAGCTGGACATCGGCAACTGGAGCATCAACATCTGCTGAAGATAAATAGCGGCAACTGGCCACCAGGGAAAACTTCAGTGGGAAGTAGTAACCCAACTGCAAGACATGTAGGGACCATTAGAACCTGGGAGCTAGCGTTATGGGAACGCCGGGAACGAACTGAAGCTAAAGCTGAAGCTTTCCCCGCCAAAAGGGGGTTAGAATATCAGCAACTAGCACGTCAGCAGCTGGAATAATGCTGAAACAGCAACAGCTGTAACATCGACGGCTGGGACAGCGACAGCTAGAACATCAGCAGCTGCTATAGATACAAAATTAGCAGCAACGGGCCAAGGGGGAACTGCAATAAATTTTTGCTCAAATAAGGCTGGAATATAACTTTAGAGAAAACGGGATTAATACATGAAGCTGAAAATAAATACAATAAAACAAAAGGAATAATAGGCACAACGTAAGCTGGAACGCTTCAGCTGGAACCCCGCCCGCTGGAACTCCGGGGGCTGAAACGGGAGCAGGAACGTCCACGGCACGAACCTCGAAGCTGGAACGCAGTAGCATGTACATTAACAGTTGCGACCGCATCAAGTGGAACAACTTCAGCCGGAACATGGCAGCTGGTCCAACAACCGCTGGACCATGTTCCACCTGAACAGCAGCAAGCTGAGACGGCAACACCCACAGCAGCTGGAACACCGACTGCCAGGAACGTCAGCAGCCGGAACACCAACAGCTGCACACCAAAACTGAAGCAACAACGTAGTAAGACCGGCGGCTCTGACACTAGGGCAGACAGCTGGACCAGCTGCAACCGCCTCAACCGAGCATCAGCCGCTAGAACACAGCGGCAGGGACATCTGAATAACATTGTCGGCTTAACTCATCACAGGAAGAACGTCGGCTGGACAGGGAACACGGCAAACATCTCGGGAAGAACGTCGGCTGGACATCTACCCCTGAACGAAGGCAGCTAGGACGGCAGCGGCTGTGACAACCACGGCAATGTCCGCACCAGCTGGGGAGCGACAGCTGCCAAAGCCAGCAGAAGGATCGGGGCTACACCGGGGGAACATCAGAAGAACCCAGCGGCCTAAGGCCACGGTTCCTTCCGGGCTACACCGGGCAGACGAGGCGTCTGGGTAACTAGCAACCAAGGTGGTCTCCGTTCTTCTGGGCTACACCGGGCAGACGAGGCGTCTCTTTGGACGAATATTTTACATCAATGTTCACAATACAATGATTACAAAACCCAATACAGTACGCAGAAATGTTTGAAACGAGTAAAGATAATGAATTAAGGAATATTCCCATAACGTAAAGCAAACTGAAAAATCCCCCGGACAAATTAAAGTCAATGTCCCAGGTGTGAATGGAATGAAATCCAAAATTGTAAATTAACTCGCCGAAGAACTACCACAAACTCTTATTCAGATAATCTCTACACCAAGGGAAAGTCCCATCACCCCCCTAAATTTGGAAATACGAAAATGTCAACATTAACTTAAAAAATGTAGAAATAGCAAACTAGAAAACTACCGAACCTCACGTCCACAAGCTCATTGAGAAAATCCTCAGAAGGAATTGTTCACCATAGTCTAGTAAAATCAACACTAACATGGATTTGTTAAATATATCCTGCATTACTAACCTAATCAGTTTTGTAATCGGTTATTCAGGCAAAGGACTTTCAGTATACATGGACGCCTCAAGTTTTTAACAAGACACCACATGAATTACTAGAAAGTAAATTAGAAGCACATTAATTAACAAATGGTAAAATACAGGGAGCCCTACACGTACGTATGTCAATTCACAAAAAAAGTCCTCACCGGAAACTGTAGAACGCCGCTATGTTTAACGTCAGTGAAGTTAGAGTATTCTCCGGTGTAGTGATGACAACCACGTCCTCCTCCGGCCCCTTCCCGGTGACCACTGCCGGGCAGCCGGCGTCAACCGCCTCCTGGTACCAAGTGCTCTTCTGACGTCACAAGCTCATGCAATAACCAATTAAATGCTGTCCCGCAATTGCTGTTTTCAATACTTCATTCAAAATAACAAAACTTTATTTACCAACTATTATAAAAATATTTTGGCAAATGGTAAACACGATATATGAAGGGTTGGAATATACAAGATCTCGATGGTGGTGCTGGCAATACTGCCTCCTCCGGTAACTGCCTTCCCAACCATCAACATACTCCCTCTAATTACCAGACATTTGTACCTATACCTATACACAGTTTCATTAACACTTTCATACATTGCACCGTTGTAAAACGCATACAACACCATGGTTATTTAATTTCTTCATTCAAAATACTGTAATATACTAGCAAAAATTTTATCCACGTTTCTGAACCCATTGACTAAACTCTCCATCACCACCCATAAAATATGGGGCCACAAAATACACTTGAACATTTTAATTGTTTGTAAAGCATATAAATATATAATACTCGACTTACTAACCACTTGGGTTGGACAGTAGAGCAACGGTCTTGCTTCATGCAGGTCGGCGTTCAATTCCCGACCGTCCAAGTGGTTGGGTACCATTCCTTCCCCCTGTCCCATCCCAAATCCTTATCCTGATCCCTTTCCAGTGCTATATAGTCGTAATGGCTTAGCGCTTTCCGCTTGATAGTGCCCTTCCCCTCCTTTGCTGCCTCGGGATGGAGAAGGAACTGATCCATTACGCACTCTTGACCTCATAATTTTGTTAACAAGCAAATTTTTTTAGTTCGTTTAGATTAAATGCCGGGGTTGGAAAACCCCAACAGGAAAGATGGTCGGGGGAGGGGACCTTTGAGAAACCTCCACCTTCCAATCCCCGTCGAGGCCACTATAGGAACATGGTGACCTCTCAGGTAAATTTGCTAGTTTAACTCTCATGTCACCTCCCAGGGCTCCCCCCACTCCCATGCCACCTCCCATGCCACCTCCCACGGCTCCCCCCACTCCCATTCTACCTCCCACGGCTCCCCCACTCCCATTCTACCTACCACGGCTCCCCCACTCCCATGGCTTCCCCCACTCCCATGCCACCTCCCAGGGCTTCCCCCACTCCCATGCCACCTCCCAGGGCTTCCCCCACTCCCATGCCACCTCCCAGGGCTTCCCCCACTCCCATGCCACCTCCCAGGGCTTCGCCCACACCCATGCCACCTCCCACGGCTCCAACCACTCCCACGACACCTCCCAGGGCTCCCTCACTCCCATGCCACCTCCCAAGGCTCCCAACTCCAATGCCACTCCCAGGGCTCCCCCTACTCCCATGCCATCTCCCAGGGGCTCCTCCACTTCCATGCAGTAAGACGGCTCTAGGCACGTGGTAGTGTTCCCTACTGAAATTATCTAATTGGGCTACATAGTATGCATGCAGCATGGAAAAGACACGTCGACAAACACCTGAAATCTTTTATTCCATTTTAGGAGTATGGTGGCCCATACTTCTAAAGTTAAACCAGTTTTAAATTCATCCAGCTAAATATGAGTATCTTGTTTCTACCATTACTGCTGACACACCTCTTACCCCAGGTCTGGAAGAAAAGTCCATATGATTATGGGTAAATTTGTCATATGCCTGTCCTATAATTCTGTGGGTCCGTCGTTGCAGATCCAGTGTTATTCACGAACGAACTGGGTTTGCACTTTTCAGCCTTTCACTCCGGTACTAGTCATCCTCCTACTTTCCTTTTTCGTGAGGCCTCTGGGTAGTCTCAGTGACCAGATGAGGGATACATCTCGTTCACACAACTGGGCACACAACTAGATTGTGTGCCCCTTCAATAGTTTAGATTAATTCATTTATTATGCACTGCATACCTATCCTGTGGGCAGTAGTGGAAAGGCTTAGAGGGACATAGTGGGCTCAGGGACTGAACCCCAAAATTCATTTAGCTAAGCAAGTTAGTCTTGATAACCTAGTTACAAAATCCTCAACAACCAGCTGAATGTGTCCTTGAAGACTAGAAATTTCAGCACTGATGTCATCTTAAATTTCCTCCTCCCTGTGGCTCAAGAACCTTGGAAATTGTACATATAATGGTCAGCCACTGTCAGTGTTGAGGACAAGAGTGAGTAAGAAGTACTGTAGTGTGCTTGTGAGTAAACTACGTTTGTACCACGAATTGGAATAAACAGTCTTGCATCTGTGGCGTGCCTGTGAGGCATAGTCCAGTTTGATTCATGTGTCAGGCACCTGAAGAAGTGGTGGAATCAAACTGGAGATGCTGTAATCCAAACTAACCTGACATGTCCAGCATTGAGTTAGAATTCTCATAAGTGTTACAGGGTAATACTTAACACGGCGAACGATATAAAAGATATCTGACTATCTGATAAGGATTCTATCGAGGGACAAGTGACCACGAGCGACAGTCGGGAAGCAAGACACATGCACGTCCTGGAAGTCAGGACGTTCACCAAGGATATACACGCCCATAAGGATAATAAGGAGCAGGACAGTGCACCATTAAGGGGGCGTTATCATTGTTTGGCCGAAAAAATTCGGCCAAACACGAAAAATTTATAAAAATACTACAACGTTCTGGCAACACCGTGGTGCAAACCGTTTAATGTTATGATAATAAATAACGTAATTAGAGCAAATTTTCCAGCCGCAATTGCCCGAAATCTGGTCCTCGCGGCTCGGGTGCGCCGTAGGGTGATGCGTCATACGTTGTAAGCGTCTAGTATTTCGCAATAGAGTGGAGAATATCTTGTTATGCATATACAAATTATAAACACACTCGCTGGCAACTGTCTTCTGTGAGAGGGAGGGGCTATAATCCGATTTACTGGCTTAGTCACCCTCTCAGTGTCTGTGCCGGCGGTCGCATGCCTGACGCGCTCGCACAGATCGTATTTTCTTGCATATACTGCACAATGGATATAGTATCGGACAAGAAGAAAGCTCTAAAGGCAAGAGCTCTACGCGTTAGCCAAGTAAAGAATGAGCGTAAAGCCACACTGAGGCAAAACAAGAGTTCCCTTGAGTGAAGAGAGAGGGCAGCCTCCCGCCCCCACAACACACTACCTCGCCTCACACCCAGGCACCCACACCTCCTGTGGCACCTGCCACACCTCTGTGGCACCTGCCACACCTCCTGCTGCACATGCCACACCACCTGCGGCACCTGCCACACCACCTGCGGCACCTGCCACTCAAGATCTTAGACCTGCAACTCAAGACGTTCTCCCTCTTGATGTTGCAAGATGTTGCATATTTCAGACCAATTATATTAGGTTAGTATGTATTATGTTTTATATCTTGATACTATATCATAAATAATTGTAAATATAAAGCTGCTGTCTTTTTTTATATTTTTTTTTATTTTTTTTTTTTATTTTTTTTTTTAATAATTTTTTTTTTTTTTTTTTTATCAGGCAATCTTCATGGAACTTACACACCTTACTGAAGGAATGCCAATCTACAAGGGTGGTAATTTTGATTGAAATTGGTAGTTCATCAACCTCAGCCAAAGGTGGCTGAACTTTGACCTTCATTTTTTACAGGTAACTAATTTGCAACTATATGGTTGAATAACTTTTTTATTTATTATTCAATTTACATGGAACTTGCACATTATATGTAGAGTCTGTGCCTCTAAAAACCCAAGTTATATATTTCCCCTAAGATCATTTATTGATTTTATATATATTTATAAACATCATTTTGTTGCATAATTTTTTGGGTGAACTTTGAAAATTTGTATTATTGCACTAAATAGGTTTGGGATAATAATGCCACTAGACAACCTTTATTATATAGTATTGTGGTAGCTGAGTATCATAGAAATAATATCAGTTGATATTTGTATTTGTTATATCAACTTTAAAACATGTAAAAAAATGGTTAAAAAAAGTTTTTTTTTTTTTTCTCCCTCTCTATTTAGGCTGCGATGCTGAAACTTGGACCACTTGCAGCCCTCTTCAGGTGTAACACGTCAATAAATTTTCATTGCACTAGAACAACTTTTATGAACCCTAACTAACGCGTGCCCGTAAGTTAAACCTGTATGGAACAGTAGTTTATATATATACTGTGGTACCTCGGCTTACGAGCGCCCATGGTTACGTGTTTTTCGGGTTACGAGCAGGATTTGCTCAGAAAATTTGTATCGGGATACGAGGGTTGGCTCAGGATATGAGTTTGTTGGTACGCATACGGGCCGACCGAGCGCGTGGTGGCATGGCGATTGCCGCTCAGTTTGCCAGTGCTCGCGCCCAATGACTATTCCGCCTGAATTCTTCACAATGATTTACTGTTTATTTTAGGAGTTTTTGCTATTTGAGCAGAAAATTTGTTATACATCACAATGGATCCCAAGAAAGCTAGTGGTAAGGTTCAAGGCAAGAAATCGCATGTGAGGATGACAATAGAGGAAAAGCAAGAGATCATTTGGAAGCATGAAAATGGTGCACGTGTTGTTGAACTTTGTAGGCAGCACAGTACAACAAATCCACGTCAACGATATGCACTATACTTGCCAAGAAAAAGGACATTATGGGTGCTAAAGTGGCAAAAGGAGTATCAACAATCACGAAACAAGAACCACAATTACTTGAGGAAGTAGAAAAGTTGTTATTAATTTGGATACACAGCAAGGAGTTAGCGGGTGATAGTGTTTCAAAGGCCATCATTTGTGAGAAAGCCAGGGTATTGCACGAAGACCTTGTAAAGAAAACCCCTGGAACGACTGCAGATACGAAAGACTAAGGCAAGCTGGGGATGGTTTGAGAAATTTAGAAAAAGAATCGGTATTCATAGTGTTGTGAGGCATGGGGAGGCTGCCAGCTCAGACAAACCAGCAGTTGAAAGATTTATTGAAGAATTTAAAAGATTTTGCAGAGGCTGAGGGATACCTACCGCAACAGGTGTTTAATTGTGATGAAACAGGACTGTTCTGGAAAAGATTGCCTAAGAGGACATACA